GCTGACAGGGGAGAGATCTGTATTGTTTACATACAGTTCTCTCCCTCTGTTGTTAATGCTCAGCGATCACCAGGTGCCAGCAAGTAATCATCAGCTGAGACATGGTGATTGACAGCCAAGACAGCGATGCGAATAGCGATGCGGAAAGGGCACGCGCAGCCCCTACCTGGAGATGCAAAATCAAGTATATATACACAATTTTGCGCACCCCTGCCACCCTGTAGCAGTATATTTGCTATAGGGTGGTGGAAAGCAGTTAATTGACTTACTGTTGACAAGCATACATTTGTGTACTTTTGGTCCAGCAGTGTCTGGGGTTGTCCTCCTAACATATTCTGGGAACTGCTTTTGTGGGTGGGAAAGGATGAACAGTAGCTAGCAGACACAGACCAATCAACAGTTAGTTACAAAAGAACAAATGAATGTTTACCGTAACATAGAAAATATATACAATATAACCGATAAGGGCAATGAGACATCTGATGCACATGATGCTTAAAAAGCAAGTCCACTTTTGTTGAGAAAAAAAACAATCCCCTCTGGGATCTGATCTATGTACATTGCAGGGATTTTAACAAACCTTGTTGCAGAGTCCTACCTTTTCTTATTCTAAAGAATTAGCTGTTTGTTTGTCTGTGATCGTGTGCAAAGTGAATAGGTATGGGAGTGATTTTATAATCATCAATCATCTGCTGCACTTGCAGGGCTTTAATGAGAAAAGTTGCAGGGTCTGCATCCCTTTTGATGTAAGTAGCCTTTCGGAGTATCTCACCAGAATCTCTGTTGCAGGGGATACCCAAAATCTGACAACTGGCAAAATCAGTGAGCCATTCACACAAGCAGGAAATGTCATTTCTGGGGGGAGATCTGTACACCATCTGTGTACAGATGCCTCCAGATTGCCATATTGCATTTTACAGAAAATTACAGAGCTACAGATTGGAAAGGAATGGTCATTTTAAAACAACATTCAAATTACAGTATGACTTCTGTCACAATTGTATATGCTATATTATTTCTTTTGTTTGCTATTTGTTTCCCACAAAAGTGGAGTTACCATTTAAAGCAGGACTGCAGCTAAAAAAAAAAACAAAATAAAAATGAATAACCCATTAAAAGATAAAATAAGAAAACAAGTTCTTGCTGCAATGTTTGCCTTCAATCTAGAGATGTATCCTGCAGTACATTTTTCTTTCACTAGATGTCCTCAGTCTGGTGGCCACAATCAAGTAAAGCCGAACTCCAGAATCTGTTCATTGTTGATTTGCCCCCTCTCCTGGGCAGCCAAAATGGCTTGTGCGCTGATATGCTGAAGGGCTTGGCCCAATTGTTGGGTCCTGGCCAGGGGCGGACTGACCATTTGGAAACTCGGGCACTGCCCCAGGGCCCGGGTCAGTAGGGGGCCCGATGAGATGCCCCTGGTACATTTTTCATAGTTTTTTTTTTTATTTTGGGCAAGGACACAGGGGCCCCATGATCCCCTATTGCCAGGGGGCCCCATGAGTTTTCAGTCCACCCCTGTCCTGGCAGAGCCCTTTGGCACATTTGCAAGTTATTTCTTGTGTGTGCACAAATACAGGGATGTTTTGTCAGTTCTGTGCTACCCATATTTGCACATGTGTGGGAAAACCTGGTGCATGCATAACTGTACAGGGAAACCTGCCCATGTGCTGCAGGACTGCAGGTGGGAAGGGGGGGGGGCCCAATGGTCATTCTCACCTAGGCAAGAATTGTGGAAATGCTGTCTTGCAGCACAACAAGCCTCCATGCACACTGGCTTAAAAAATGCTGCTTCTACAGGAGTTATGTGCTTTGCCTGTAGAAGCAGATCAATGTTATCCTATGTGTCCATGTATGTTAGGATGAATAGAGGCAGATTTTGCGCTGGGAGTGCTCCCAGCCCAAAGACCGGGGTGTCACTGAGAGCACCAGGTCTTGTTCTAACGAGACCCAGGACTTCTGATTCCAGGTCACATGATTGCTGTAATAGCCTCTGATTGGCTATCACACTGATCAATCACTGTGAAGTCTGCCCCCCCCTTGGTTTTTTTGTCACTGAATGGAGGAGAGAGATACACTGTGTCTCTCTCTCCTTGCAGAGAGGAAAAACAACAACTGTTTGCAAAAAAAAAGATAAACAAATAAATATTAAAAAATAAAGAAAGTAAATAAAGAAAAAATACCTAGATCAAGGTTTGATCTAGTTCAGTGCCAGGGTTGGTGGTTGGCTCAAGGTCAGGGTCAAGGTCAAAAGTCAGGGTCAAAGGTCAGGATTTTTTTTTTTAATTGGTATTCAGTGTCATGGTGTTTTAGATGTAAAAGAAATCCCCAAAAACCCCAAAATGTGCACTATTGTTTGTGTATATGGTATCGATGCAATCGTCAAGATTGGGTTGTTCTTAGGTGGTAGGTTATGGTAGTAACAAGAAAACACACAGCTAAATTAAAAGAAAATAATTTTTTTTACTAGTTTGGGCCAGTTTTCCTTTGATAATAAAACAAAAAATCAGGAGATATCCATTACCATTTACCACCAAATGAAAGCCCAGTTTGTCCTGAAAAAAAAAACGCAGTATAATTCACCTGGATGTACAAAGTAGTTGTGATGATATGTATGGTTTTACTAACACGTCATTTTTGGTTGGAGCTTTCTAGCAGAAAAAACGCTAAACTCTCCTAAACCTAAACCGTGTACAAAAAAACGCTCTATATCAGCATTTTTGTTTCTAGCAAGAGAACAGGCTTTTTTTAAGCCCAGTGTGCATGGAGCCTAACTGTTTCAAAAATGTTTAAAAATTCCAATTTAAAAGAGAGGGAGTGGGGAAGGAGGCAGGGCAATAAGAGATTCGTTTTAGGGTGCAGGTCTGCCTTAAACAAAATTTACGGTCTCATCATACGCTTTCATTTTAGCACCAGCATTGTAATAACAATACAAACATTAGTTATATTTGACTATCCAATACAGTTACATAGCTACATATAGTTAATCTGGTTGAAAAAGACCATCCAGCTCAACCAACAGAAAAAAAATGCACACAAATAGAAAACCTCCATATACACTGACTATCCAATACCCACAGTTGATCCAGAAGAAGGCAAACATAAATACCCCAAGAAAGCATGATCCAGTTTGCTCCAAAAATTGTTCCTGATCCCACAAGAGGCAATTGGATATTCCCTGGATCCACGTTACCTATAAATATTACTATCCAGTTACAATATGCGCATTTAGGAAAGAATCCAGGTCTTTTTTTAAAACAATCTACCGAGCTAACCAGAACCAGCTCTTGAGGGAGTCTATGCCACATTTTCACAGCTCTTACTGTGAAGAAGCCTTTCCATATTTGGAGATTACATTTTTTTTCCTACAGACGTAGAGTGCCCCTTTGTCTTCTGTGAAAGTGAATAACTCTCCATAAAGTTCACTATATGAACCACTGATGTATTTATACATGTTGATCATATCTCCCCTTAATCTCCTCTTCTCAAGAGAGAATAAATTCAATTGCTCTAATCCAATATAATCTTACTTGAAAAATCTCCTTTCATGTTGTGACTTCTGCCTGTCTGCTGACCACAACTTCCTGGATTTCCTATGTGCTTTGCAGCTTCTTCTCTTCTGCTTACTTTCAATCTCTAAAGGGCTACATATCCCATGGCACCTTGCTACCTGCAAGGGGTGATTCCTGTACTAACTCCACCTCCAGAAACTCCTCCTCTCTGCACCTCTGTAGTTCAGAAGGCAGGCTCTGTGAAATGTGTGACACAGCAGGGCCAGAACCTAAAAAGTGAAGTTTTACTATCCGATAGTGAACATCTACAAATGTTAAGTGTACCTTTTGTCTTGAATTCTCCTAAAAATAGGAGTGCACTGTGATTTTGTCTAGACACTGTAACTAGTTGTTTGAAAGGTACTGCTGTCTAGTTTCATGAGAGTTGGAGTGCGGCTTAGTTATGTCACTGCTGTGTTACTCACTCTTCTAGTTATGAAAGAAAACATAACCCAAGGACCTGCAATGCAAGGATCGCCACGCTTCTGTGGATCTGTGATTCCTCCACCTCTCTTACTGCTTTTTGATCTTTACCTGGCCCATGGGGGCAGTATGGCAATTCGCTGACTTAGCAAGGTCCACAGGCAGTGTCAACTTGCTAAGAAACTCAGAAGTGGAATCCAATATACTTTATTCCTGCTTGTGACCATACAGAGGATTTGTGTGTGGGTGTGTGTGTTTTCTTGTGGATAAAAAAGTCATTTTAATCTAAAAACCTTCTGTGACCAAGCCCTGGTGGGCATGTTGAATCGTGCCAGTGGGGCATGGCTGGAGCGGTGATGTGAAAGTGGAAAACCCAAATACTCCTGCACTTAGGGGTTGACTCTATGTCTTGGAATATGCACGCCTTGCTGCCCTCAAAGAACCGGGGAGTCCAAAAGTACTAATAGAGAAAAACGAAACAGAGGGCGCACCAGCCTTGTGCATTACCTTTAACCACTAGCCTACAGGGCACTTATACTGCCTGCCCAGGCCAATTTCCAGCTTTCAGCGCTGTCGCACTTTGAATAAAAATTGCGCGGTCATGCAACACTGTAGCCATATGAAATTTTTATCATTTTTTTGTGACAGATAGAGGTTTATTTTGGTGGTATTTATTCTCCTCTGCAGTTATTTTTTTTTCCTAAGCAAACCAAAAACCAACAACGTTTTTTTTTTAGTTTTTGTTATAAAATTTTTTAAATAAGTGATTTTTCTCCTTCACTGATGTGCGCTAATGAGGCTGTAGTGATGGGCACTGATATGCACTGATGGACACTGATGAGGAGGCACTGGTAGGTGGCACTGATGGGCATTGACAGGCATCACTGATGGGCACTGAAAGGCAGCACTCATATATGGCACTGATAGGTGGCACTGATAGGCGGCACTGACTGGCATTGATAGGCGACACTGACTGGCACTGTTAGGTGGCACTGACAGGCAGCACTGACAGGCACTGATAGGCGGCACTGATGCACACTGATAGGCAGCACTGACAGGCACTGATAGGTGGCACTGATTGGCAGCACTGATAGGTGGCACTGACTGGCATTGATAGATGGCACTGACTGGCACTGATGGGTGACACTGAAAGGCATCTCAGATGGGCACTGATATGTGGTATTGATGTGGCACTGATGGGCACTGACAGGTGGCACTGCTGGGGCTACACAGATCATCAGAGCACACTGATCATCAGTGCCCTGATGATCAGTGCACATGTCCCCTTTGAGGAATGCCAATTACCACCTCTCCTCTCCTCACGAGCTGTCAGCGTGACAGCTCGTGAGGAGAGAAATGCCGATAACCGGCATTTCTGTTTGCATGTGATCAGCTGTGATTGGACACAGCTGATCACATGACCGAGCCAACATCTTTGGCTCTTTCCATTGATCGGTGATCCACTGTGTCCGAGGGACACAGTGCAGAGCCGATCGCCACGCTGCCCCACAATGGGAGGACGTCATATGACGTCCTCCCAGAATGAGAGAACCGCCTTGCGCCCGTCATTGTACTATAAGGCGGATGGGAGGCGGTTAAAAGTATGTTTATTAAATTTAAAAGAAGGTGTTCTACTCACAAAAGTGCATGAATATAAGCACATCATATAAGACCACTCTGTCCAATTCGCACTACTTTTCTGAATGGTGATGATAATGATGGACATCCAAAATGGCTGACGAGTTTTGAGGGCTAGCTTCTTCCTCAGAGCCACTTTTGGGGATCCCAGCCAACGTAATGAGGCTAATTCACACTATCTGTGTCTCTACCCTATGGGCCATTGCCCTTCAATGGATGTCACCAGTGATACCTTTGGCCTCTGTTTTGCAGAGAGTCGTTATGATATTGTATCTTTGTTGGTTGTGTGGTTGTCCTGCATGTCTTACTGCCTACCTTTTTCATGTACTTGAATTTTATTTTTCTATGTTTCTGATTTATAATACTGTTCTTATGTGCCTTCTTCTTGATGCTTCTTCATGATACCTCATGAAGTTGTACTGTTTTTGTAGTCTCTCAATAAAAATTTTTTGTAACCAAAGAAAAAAAACCTTCTTACGTCCTAAAATTCCTCATTACTCAGTGTAGGTGAAACTATATGTAACAGGAGAAAAGGCTGGCAGTGTCTTACTTGTGACTAAACTAAAAGGGGTTAAGTGGAACATACCTAATAAAATAAATCATTCAATTAATTTTAATATTGTTTATTCTATTATATTGCAATAATATTGCAACACCAATGAACAGCTTTGCATAAAACCATTATATGGTAGCGTTTTTGTGCATTTTTTTTGCGTGATTTGTCACAGGTTTTTATGTGCATTTGCGAACATTTGTGCTTGATTTGTTCAGCTGTTTTTGGGCTTTTTGAGTTCTGGCATTTTTGTATTCACCATTAGAGAAAAATTCATCTGTGACATCAATTGCTGCTGTTTTGCCATGCCAGAAAAAATACTCTTGGTCCCGCGGCAATACACGCTAAAGCGGATGAAACCGCGCAATTTGCACGTTTACTTGTATTTCTATGGGAATGAGAACATGCCAAAATACATCAGTGTTCCCAAATGGAGCTACAAAAGTAGCTCCAAAACTTTTTTGAGCTTCAGGCAGCTTGGAGTGGAGATATGAACCATCTACATACAGTAATGTTAATTTTTTTCTCCCAGAGCGTTTTGGAGCTTCGCGCTACAAAACGCTCAGGTGTGAATGGAGTTTAAAGCAAACTAATACACAGCTTGCAACCAGTGAGGGAAACCATAAAGTGTCATTGCTAAACAGATGTAAATCATTGAGCTTACCTTTATCATCCTTCACCATGCAAGTAAAGTCTTTCTAATTGAAACCCCCCCCCCCCCCCCCCCACCAGTCTGCTACCATGTCCTCTTGCTCAGGACTTGTAATGGAAATCCTCAGGATTGTACAAACAAGGGTGCTGCCTCACCATCTGGTTAAAGGTCTTGGGATTGAAAAGACATACTATCTCCTTCATCTTGCTTGGTATTGCTGACCAAAATTGATTTTTGTTGTTGATGTCATGGCAATATTTGGTCAATTCCAGTACATACCTAGGTAACTGTACATATCAGCAGAAAAAAGCACCTAAATGCATGACAAAAACACACAAAAACACACAATTTGCACTTTTCAATGCACTTATGTGGGAAAAAAAAGTAGCTCCGAAACGTTTAAGCTTTAGGCATTTTTATGCATTGTTTTGTTTTTCTTTCTGAGCATTTTGGAGCTTCAAGCTTCATGCTACAAAATGCTCAGGTGTTAACAGGGGCGGACTGACAACTCATGGGGCCCCTGGGTAATAGGGGATCATGGGGCCCCTGTGTCCTTGCCCACACTCAAAGCATGCCCAAAAAAGCCTATAAAAAGGTATCAGGGGCATCTCATGGAGCCCCTACTGACCCAGGCCCTCGGGCAGTGCCCAAGTGCCCAAATGGTCAGTTCGCCCCTGGGTGTTAATCTCTTTCTGTCTGCCCTATAGCAGAAATACTGTTACCGGAGCGGCACGGGTGTGCAAAATTACGTATATATACGCGATTTTGCATTTCCCGGTACTCTCCAGCGCTTAGTAATTGCCGAGCATCTCCGCCGGGGGGGGTGGTAAACAAAACAGTTCTCCTCCCTGTCAGCTCGTGCACACTGCTTTGCATGGTAGTGCACAGCAGAGCCATGCACAGCAATGTGATTACAGTGAAGCACATGGACACAGCTTACAGTAAAACAGCACACAGTTGATCCTTTGATCGCCCCTCATGTTAACCCCTTCCTGCCCAGTGCCATTATTACAGTGTCAGTGCTTTTTTATTAGCACTGATCACTGTATTGATGTCACTAGGGATGTCAGTGACACCAAGTCAGTTCCCCCCAGTGTCAGAATGCACGCCGCAGTCCCGTAGTCCCACTAAAGGTCGCTGATCGCTTCCATTACTAGTAAAATTTAAAAAACTAAATCCCAGTATATATACCGCCATTTGTAAACACTAAAACTTTCACGTAAGCCAATTAATTTACACGTATTAGTTTTTTTTTTTTAGCAAAGACATGTAGTAGAATACATTTTGGCCTAAATTTTATGAAGAAATTAGATTTTTTAATTTTTTTTACTGGACATGTTTAATAGCAAAAAGTCAAAAATATTTTTTTTTTTTTCTCAAAATTGTCGGGTTTTTTTTTTATAAAATAAAAACCGCACAGGTAATCAAATACCACCAAAAGAAAGCTCAATTCATGGGAAAAAAAGGATGTAAATTTTATTTGGGTGCAGCATTGCATGACCGCACAATTGTCAAAGTAACACAGCGCCGTAACGCAAAAAATGGCCTGGTCAGGAAGGAGGGTAAATCCTCTGGAGGGCAAGTGGTTAATGAGTCTTAAAGATGATGGCAGTCGGGTTTTTTTGCATTTACTTGCAAAAAGGTAGGCCTGGAGCAAAAGAAAAAAAAAGCTCAGGGATGGACATGACAGGGTGAATAGTGGAGACAACTTGGGAAGGGTTAAAAAGTTAGTGCAGCTTTGAATCAGGGAGGGCTTACCTAATTGGTCTGTTGCTGGGAGGGGTAATGCTGGGGCTGCTAACATCAACCCGAAGTAACAGTGCCCAACGGTTTCAGGCCTTTTAGATCTCTACACAAGGGAGGCTTTTACAAGTAAATACCATGCATAAAAACATTAACTACACACATGGTCTTATGGGAAAATTTTTGTTGAAATAAATGGTCTGGTGACAGGGTCTCTTTAAGTAGAATAGAGGTGTTCTAGAATTATAATTTCAGAACTAGGAGCCCAAAACGTAATGAACCATCCTGTTTCTGTTTCCACAGGTACGTTGAAAATCTGGAAAGACCAGCAGGTGTATTTATTTGCAGAGAATGTTCTTAGTTCAAAAAAAAAAAAACGAATGCAGCCACCACACAACACTAGTAAGCTAAAATATATTTGTTTTTGGAGTTTGGTCGTACATTAAAGCCTCTGTTGGGTTTATAGATATGGGCAGTTTTAAGTCTCTTCACAGTATTCAGTGACTGCAACCTTACGTAACAGATCATGTTTTTTACATAAAATGCTGAGCTTTTGAACTACTGACTTGAACATGGACCTCTAGTTTGTATTTTTTTCAAACTCCATAATAAGTTCTCTGCAGGACATTGCTAAGTCAAAATTATCTGTTCCTTCAGGCCTTGTGACAGCTGTTCCTTTATCATTGCTGTATAGATAGCTGTAAAGCATACTTGATGCTTAGGTATTGGAATACAGAATAGAGTAGTGGATTGCTTCTCTCCTGGTGGAAATTTGGATTCTGAAGGTCTTGAGCTGTGAGCTGTAAGGAAGTGTATGACCTAGTCTCAGAAAGCTTTTTGAGACAATCTGATGATCTGGGTTTATGCAATGACATATACGTTACTGCACAGGGGTGTTAGCAACTTGGGAAGCAGAGAAATGTTCCTTTTCCCTGACTGACCAACATGTATAATTGCTGCAGAGTCCTTTACTGGTTCAGCTTGTGCATAAGATTTGAAATATTCTGTGCCACTGCTCTGCCGTAGCACAAATAGCAATGACTGTCTTGCAGGACTGTCCAAAGTTCAGGTCCTCTTTAAGCTGATATAGAAGTGAGATGATCCTCACCTGATCTGATGAATTGTGATAAGATTGAGAACTGGTCATATGCGTATGGGCAGGCAGAGACCTTTGCTGAAACTCCTTGACTGACCAATTTCAAAATAATAATCAGTCGGGGAATAAAGCGTTTCCACCTAAGTCACTCCAAAGACATGCTGGTAGGTTAATTGGATCCTGTCTAAACTGGCCCTTGTATATGAATGTGAGTTAGGGACCTTAGATTGTACGCCCCTTGAGGGTTAGGGACTGATGTGAATGTACAATATATATGTAAAGCGCTGCGTAAATTGACGGCGCTATATAAGTACCTGTAATAAATAAATAGCTACACTATATTGCCAAAAGTATTGGGACGCCTGCCTTTACATGCACATAAACTGTAATGGCATCCCAGTTTTAGTCCATAGAGTTCAATATTAAGTTAGCCCATCCTTTGCAGCTATAACAGCTTCAACTCTTCTGGGAAGGCTGTCCACAAGGTATAGGAGTGTGTCTATGGGAATGTTTGACCAATTTTCCAGAAGCACATTTGTGAGATCAGGTGCTGATGTCGGACAAGAAGGCCTGGCTCGCATTCTCCACTCTAATTCATCCCGAAAGTGTTCTATAAGGTAGAGGCCAGTTCAAGTTCCTCCACCCCATACTCGGTTATCCATGTCTTTATTGTCCTTGCTTTTGTGCACTGGTGTGCAGTCATGTTGGAACAGGAAGG